TATATATATATATATATATAATATATATTATAAATCTTTGATATATTTGTTGAGTGAGTAAATTAGGTCAACGGAAAAAAAGGCTTGTTATTTAAACATTCTTTTCCTTTTGTCCCAGATGACTCAATCACGTCCTAAAGTCAAGAATAAGAGTTTCGCGAATGATCCACTAAATTGATGGACCGACCATAAAATTGCCCCCAGTGAAACAAAGCGGTAAGAAGACCTTGCAGTCGAGTGAATATTCTCTTCTGTAATCAGACCGCTGCTTAAAATCCCTTCGAGTGTGAAGCAGTGGAGCGGCAGGTTGGCGCAAGCAGCTGAAGCATCCGAGCCGTCGTGGGACCGTTCTGGACCTGCGCTCGTTGCCATCCGCCTCTGCTAACGAGCGGTTCCCACGGCGGTGCGGGGCGGCGGCGATAGGGGGTGCTAGTGGGGTGGGGTTTAGGGCGACGTTGCAGGCGGGGCGGGGCGTGCGGAGAGACTCCTCCTGTTAGTGTTGCCAAGTTGCGAGTGGAGAGGCCCCGTCGAGTTGGCTGCGTGGGGACAGTGATGTTGGTGAAGTGTGGTGGTGTTGTTACTGGCTGGAGGTGACGGTCTTGTTGGACGTATCGTTTACGCTTGTGTGCTGTTTTAAGCTAGCGGTAGTTGGAGAACGATTCCAGTTGTTTATGTTCGCGAAGAAAAGGACATGGATAATAATAGCAAGAGAAATAGTTGTGATAAAGCATTACAACGAGGTGGAGTTACATAAAAGTCGATCATGAAATTAAACGCATAGACTTATTATAATAGGAACATAGAAGTCAATAGTAAATGCAGCTTTGATAGACGAAAAAAGACTATGAAAAGAAATAAAAAAACTTGCCTCTGTCTAACATGTCCACAAAATATAAATAATGGAAATCGATTTTCAAGAATTGCTTCGAAGATCGGGGATTTTTCGCGTCTTGTGGCGTGTAGTCCAATCGTGGTGCAAGAGCATCAGCTTCGTGTGCCAGGCGCGCGTGTGCAGCTGCAGATAAACCGCGCGCGCTCAACACCGGAAGCAGGCGTTCGGCCTTTGCCCTGCGCCCTTGCACTTCCGGCCGTGCCCTCCCCCAGAGCGGGCAGCGCGGTGCCTGTGCACCTGCGCCCCTCCTCCTCCCCCCCCCCCGCGCACCGCGCCGGCTGCTAACGAGCGCGCTAATGGGCGGAGCGGGGCAGCGGGAAACGAAGTTCTTAATTTGCCCCACTCCAAATCTGAAGAGGTTTTCAAATTCTTCGGATTTGTACGCGCTTACTTATAAACGCAAAAAAACATTTACATTGTATGGTGAGTATGGGGAAGAAGCACAATCTGTACACATAATAAACAAAATTAATTATAATTCAGAAATTTGTATCAAGAAAAAATGGAACATTTCAAAGGGAAAAAAGTGAAATAGCATTAGATGTCTCTTTAGTCGGTATTAATTAAACGACTGTTATAATTAACAAACTTTATCCATACGCAATACCAGAATAGAATGCACTCCTTGCGTTCTTAGCAAGAATAAATAAATTTAAATTGTATGTTATGATGTTTCAATTAAAGCAATAGATATGAATGATCCTTAAGTCATACGGTAGTGTAGATCAGAAAGGAATGTTATAAGCACAGCAGTCAACGTGTTCATTAGAATTCGAAGTTTTCGAGGAGTAGAAACTTATGACAATCGCATTCTTATTAAAATGTGCATCAAATTTGTTCATCTAACATTTATTTGAGGTTTTGTATAAGAATTATCAAGAAAAGAAACACTGTTCTTAAATATTGGGCGCAATATTTATTGGCACCAGTTTCACTCTTAGACAACTCGGATCGAACACCCCCATGAAACATGCAGCAATGCAGTCTTTGTATTTCCATTAAGATGTCAGTCTCACAGCCACGCACAGACGTAAACGAATGACTGCAGGGAAACGCGATTCGCATGAACTGACGGTGAAGGAGCCACCACATGCCCACAGGCGGCCGACCGGATCATCAAGAAACCGGCAGAGGATAGCAAGAGCTCGCCGACTGCTGTGAGCCACCCTGAAAACAATCAGATCAATCTGCGAATGAAAGGCTGTGCGCTGCCTGGCGCTCAGCACCGCACCGCAGCCAAGGCGCCCGGGCCGGCGGCCGCGAAGTCTGCCAGGGTGAACGCCCGCACATTTTGACACCGTGGCGAGGCGGGCGCTGTTTGCGCAGGCCCGGCGGCCTTGGGCGCGCTTAATGGGCCGTGGGCTGCCCCCCCCCCCCGCCCACGCCCACGCCCCACGCTCCGCTGCGCCGCCCTTTGGCGCTGGCAAACGCCTCCACGCTTCTGAAGGGCGCCCAAACAGCAGCGCTGCGCTCGCGTTGACGTGCACATGTTGGCGAACAAGGCTGTTGGGGGGAGTAAGACGCCATCACATGTTGCCATTTTGAGACCTGAGACTGTGCTGAGGGAGCAGGTGTAGAAAAAGACTGAACAGTGCTCCTGAATGGATCAGACAAGTACCGCAGAAAAATGACGGTTTATGGCAAATAGCCTCTGGGCTCTATTGCACTACTATTTTGTTTTGAAATCAATAACGTGCACAATTCCAACGTAAGTGGGAGAATGTCAGGACACAAAGTACTATTTAAGTTCACCTGTCACTTAAAATTGACACTGTCTCTATTCGTTATCATTTCATAATCTTTTTTACTGTGCGTCCTGCCCATAAACTTGTTGCAATCTTATTTTAGTTTCTATGGATGCACAGAATAACTGTGCAATAAGGTATAGAAAATGTTCAAAATATTTTAACACAAACGTTCAAAAAATGATTATAATATTTTTGCTAATGAAAGACATCGTGAGTTTTTAAATAAACGACATTTTCCTTTAATTTTATTGCAATTTATTCTGGGGTTCAGGGAGGACCCATCCCCGTCTTTTTGGCATTCAACGTGTGTCATTGGTATGTGGCAGATAAGGGGCAATTGACAGGAATATTACATCATGTTTCAACAATCACGTTTTTGAAAGCAACTTCATTTTGCTCATACCCCAATTGGAAGCTACACCGTCATTACGGCACACGGACTTCCTAAGAGCCCACACGTGTGCAGTGCAGACCACACTACTCTTCTGCCGCTGTCTCGGGCACAGGCGCTTTCAGCGGGCATTCTTCTGGCGAGCTTGCATAGGACCGAACGTTTTTCGGTTTATGGAAGAGTAATACTCGTCTGTCTGTGTTTTGTCATTTCATGACTATCTCTGAATTTGAATTAAATTTCAATAAACTAGAGTGGTAATGGAATAACTTATTTCTTTGAGAATTTGTTTCTTGTGACAATTTGAACTCCAGTACTTTAGTTTGTAGATTAATCAATATGAAACATTGTAAATTGGGGGTTTGAGAAGCTATCATTCGTGTAAAACTGGGAATACTGGCACTAGTCCATCACATTTGGTTCTTGTAGTTATCACAATTCATTTTCCACTCGCAGCGTGAGGACTCAGTGAGTCATTCTTATTTTCGTGGGACATTCGCACAAATATTCTGGATTTCGCGAGCTTTATAACTGCTGAAGCAGTTAGATAGAAAGGTATAACTACAATAATAGCCATGAGCTGCAACTCAACAATTTTAAAATCTTGGTATGTGGATACGGGTTATTACGCCAAAAAAGAGAGCCAAAATATATCTTACTCATTACCTGAATATTAAAAAGGACTAGGTATACAAGACGAAAATCCATAAAATATTCATCGTAATATCATTCACTGCAACCTCTATATCACAAATAATTTGGTTTGAAAGTTGTCGTTTTGTGGGAACGATTTTACGTTACCCATTTGAAGCAATATTAATACAAGAACAGTCCGTGTAGTTGGCAATAAAATTGATGGCCATGTAGCATAATGTTGTACCACCGTATTCAGGGAAGAACTAAGCAGAATGTTGTCACATTACAGTAGTGCTGCGCTATCTTTTCGGGAACTATTTGCCCGTATATTGTTTCATTTTGCAAAGCGCACGAAATGCTTCTAACATTTCGGTCACACGGCATACGTGTGCAGTCGCTCCACGGCCATTGGCGGTTTGCCGGTCCATTGCATCCTGCTCAGTTGCGAGTCGAGTGGGCGCAAGTGAGCAGTCGTTTATTTTATGTCATTGCGGTTGGCTGTAATTCAACGTTTCTGTTTTCTTGCTTAGTCTGTTTTTTTCATTCGAAGTATTCAAACAGAGGTGGATCTTTACAATCTCAAGTGTTGTTGCGGTATTCTTAGCTAAGTTTTTAATTTAAAACAGGTTTTTCGTGTCTGGACTAGCAAAATACAGAAAGATATCTCTGAGCACGCTTTATTATGCGAAACACATTATTATGGCAAATAAGACGCACGGTCACCCTTCCCAACTATACTGAAATTCGTCCCTCTGCGATCATCTCAACAGCAAGACACATGGCGAGGGTTTTCTATTAATTCTCCAATCAGTCTCTAGTATTCATTTCCAATATGTTCTGGTATGTGTAAGGCAGTGTCCTAAGTTTCTTACTTCGAATAACACGCCCGTCCGTCGATACTTTACTTCATGTACTACACTCGTTATTTCAACTGACATAATCTTCCGTGTTGAATTGTTTATCATTCCATTCTTTCTCCTCCTTTTGCTATGAACCCAATTTTTATAACGTCCAAATTCTCCTCTTTTCTAATCCTGAAAGAAATATTTTATTTTTTATTTAGGTCATTAACATTACAAAAAAATAAGTATAGATATTTTAAGCTATAAGTGTAATATGTGTTACATTTTACTGACATGTTTACTTTAGGTGATAGTAGTACATAAAAATAACTTTATTGCAAACTTTGGCTGAACTTCAATAAAGTTAACAACTCGAAAGGAGGCAAGTTGTGGAAAAGAATGAAAGCCAGTGTCAGTCCATTCCATTTTCTTGCATTACGTTTCCGTCGATTAGGTTAAGTTAGATTACATATGAGGGCGTGTGTTCGCAGAGCAACATGCACGCGTCCTTCGCGTACGAGGGCCGGCGCGCGAGCGACTACGGCAGCGCGGTGCGGCGCCCCGAGCACACGCTGCTGGGCCACCCGGGGCTGGAGCCCGAGGTGATGCTGCACGGCTCGCTCGCCGTCGACGACGGGCAGGTGAGTCCACCCCCTCCCCTAGCACCTCGCACTCGGGAGTCCATCTGGAGGCGCTCCTTGTGCAAACATCCTCTACGGAAGGAGAACAAAACGCGCGAAAAAGAAAGTGGTCTCTGCTTGCAATATACGTATATCTGATACATTTTAGGAATCCAAATTAAATTTGAGGTAATAATGATATACCTTTTTCTAAACAAATCAATACTTATGTCATTTCGTATTTGTGCACTGATTGCTCTTTCCGTTAGGGTTAGTCATACTTCATCACTTGTTGGTTTTTTGGGAAGGGGTTGCGTTTAAAATAAATTCTACTTTAATTTCATTTGTTCCTAATGGAGTCATGATGATTCATGAGTTACTTCTTTTGACGAGATATTAATTTTTATTATTTTTAACAATTTTAAGAAGTCATTTTCCGGAGAAGTAGTGAAAATTCATGTATTATAATTACATCTTTGCAGAAGGAATAAAATGTTTTCATCCATCGAAATTTCATCCACATTCCAATTTAACACATTTTAAACTCAGGATATTAAAACTATCGAATTTGATAATAGTAGTTTTATGCGTATTTCTTCTCTACCTACAGTCACCCTACAATTAACCCACAATAACGATTAGTAATGTTCTTGCTTCCCTGTTCTTGGGACAAAAATTAATTATTCTTGCGTTCTCAATAGATGTAAAAACCCATCAGGTTCCACTGTTTAAAAAAATTCATAATGAAAACATCTTAATGTAGCATTTTATTTATGGCGTCTTTCAAATTAACGTAGGAAAACATAGCTCAAGGCCCTAAATTCAATTTTTTCTAATGAGATTAACTTAGCGGTTTTTCTGTTTCCCAGTCAGATGTTGCTGACGAAACACAACTCGCAACCTGAATAAGTTGAAGCATATTTTGATATCTCGTCCATCTTTGTCTTTCGACCTTCCACCTGTCTGGGCGGCACAATACAACCCAAACAATAGAAACAAAATTTCGGATACAATCAATCAGAGGCCGTCAGAACTTTTCTTCTTCCCTATTTCATTCGAAATGAGATCGTAGGGACAAAAAACAATGAAACGAATTAAGAGACAAAGGTATTACAAAGATTGAAAGGAATAATGAGAGAAACTCTAATATTATATGGAATGTTTTCATTATAATTTAGTTGCCATTAGAGATTTATATACGTGACAAATATACCTGATTATTATTTTGTCTTATGCATAATATTTTATGCGTATCTAAAGTAAACATGATATAAATTCATTATCCACCTGCTTTGTGGAGTGTAAATTGAAAAAGATAAGTTTTGTTTCACTTTTTTTAGTTTTCTATTGTAATAAAGAAATATTTGCAATTTGTTAACAAACTTTCTCTTAAGATTCTTTTGTGTTGCCATTTTTTGTAATTTCTGATCCCGATCACATTTGTCTTTTTTCTGATCAGACAGCTTGTCATTCCTGATCAAATTTCTGGTTCATTTTGCGGATCATTGCAATGCAAGAAAAAAAACCAAAAAATAAATTGTTCATACTGATTATCGCTTCGTCTTCTGAACATTTTTTTAAAGTAATTCAAATTATACTTTATACAAATTATATACTATAATTTCATTGTTCACTTAGTTTTCAAAGTAAATCATAAGCTTTATTCAATTCATTATGGTTCCCTTTCAAGAAAGACATTTACTTTCCGGTAGTTAAGTCCAGCCGGGAGTCCTTTCGAGATGTGTTGGCCACACGTTACTTCGGATCTCATTTCCAGTTCGCTTCGTGAATCTTCTCGCCGAAAGAAATGAACCGTCAATAATAAGCACGATGTGCAGACGTGCTTTTATCGAAGCTCGTTCTTAGGGCAAGTTCACCCCCTCCCTGCAGCACCTTGAACACGTCTAACATATGCTCTGATAACTTCAACACTTCAAACCCGTTTGACTGGCATTTTATCTCTCCGTTCACAATCACAATCTCGCATCTTTCGCCATGCTTAGTTTCCCAGCAAAAATGGGACGCCGAAATAACTCTCTGGATTTGCGTTTACACATTATGATCACCTGTCCGCGAAACGTGACTGGAATGTAATTTGAAACATTTCGCATCGACGATAATATCGCTGATTTGTTTATGAATGTGGACATGTGTCAAATAAACGAAAAGGGTGTTTGTCCTACTTCGTAAAACTGTAGTCGTGTACTGCGTGTGCGCTGAAGCGAAGAAAGAGTGTACAACGCAACTCCCTTGTACGTGCACTGAAAGAATTGGGTCGATAAAGGCGCTTCGAGATCAGCATTCGAGACTATCGAATTAACCTCTCGTCAGGTTCCCAGCGTAAAACGGTACATCAAAGGGAGCCGATGCCGTATATGGAAACAATTAGCGTACGGGCCGAGAGTTGTGCCGTCCATCACGGGGCCCAGGGAGGAAGCCTCGCAACGGGCCCCGGCGCAGGCGCAGGCGCTTTCGCTAATGAAGTGAATCGGACGACGGAGTCCGCCAAGGGGGAGACAAATGGTGCCAGTAATGGTCTTCTGATTGTCTTTCGCTTTAACAGCGTCTTCGCGAACTGCAGATGGTTTCGTTGCATGTGAGCATCATGTCTAACTCCGTTCGTTTCTGGGCACGTGGAAGGTGAAATCGAATCATTATCCGAAATTACTTTGAAAAAGTTGACATAATGTAATAAATCATTAGTCAAATGTCACTAACATTACATTAAAAATATAAAAATGTTTGAGGAATATCAGATCTACTTTAAATTTAGAGTATGATTTTAAGAATTCCGTGTAAAACAAATGAATATTGAATAAATAAATATTATGTAAGTGCCATTTCTACTCCACAAATATATAAAATTGGTGCTTGATTTTTCTGAGCTATTATGAACTGTTGCATGATTACTTAAATGAATGTATATGAAATGCGATGACTTCCTTGTGCTATCCATGGCACGAAGTCAAGATGAAGTTATCCACTCCTTTCGCAAGATTGGAACTCAAAAGTCAAGCAAATAACGGTTACCGTTACCGCATCTTGTACTTTATAGGATGACCTATGGACTTTCGTACTGCAACTACAACTAGTGTGTGGTATATGAATCGTTTTAACGGCATCGTTTCGCGTTCCTCGAGCCCCTTTGCTCCGCTTCTTGCCGGTCCCTCGCGCAAGAGCGCGCGGTGTCTTGGGCGAATGAGAGGGCGAGCGCCACAGCGTCGCAGCGCCGCCGGCCTTGGGCCATTGAGGCCGCTGAGGCTTCGAGGGCGGGGGTCGCGCGCCTGCGCCACAAAGGAGCGGCCGCGGCTCCCGCGCATCTCTTCAGCCTAATGACGGCGCGGCCGGCACCTGCCTTCAGCTCTGCGTCTCTCCTCCACCTCCGCCTCACCTTTCGCTTACGCCTGCGCCTGTCTCCGCCCTCGCCTTCGCCGCCGCCCAGCAGCCGCCCCCACTGCCACTGTCCACGGCCCCGTCACCATCCCCGCCACCGCTGCGTAAAATCACGGATCGTGCAGCTCAATTGCAATTGCTCTGTGATAGGCTTCATTTCCTTTGGCTAATTACTTCTCCCTAACCAGCAACCACCTTCAGCTTCTCATTTACAATAACTGTGTCGCCGCCGCCTCCGACCTGTATCTGCAGCAGATACTCAGAAGCCTCCCTGTATTCTTTGCTGGGTAAAATCAGGGAAGATTGTTTGGATTAAAATTAATGTCGATTGGCACAATTCTTTCGTAATGCTGACGTATCTACACCCACCACCTAATATAAATATTACGAAACCATGCCTATGCTTTTTTCTGCCTGGAATTCCACTCGCCTTATTGTCATTAGCTCTACATCTACTCTAACTGGATTGCGTTACTGACGATGGCTTAAGCGCTAATCAGCCTATATCCTATAAACTGAAACCATCAGTGCAGCCTATCCTTCTCTACAGGATCGGGTGACAACTCCACGATTGCCTCCATTGCTGCTGTTGCCTTCATTCATTCAAATCAACCACGGTAGCCAAAAAAGAGTTCATGCAACCTAGTTTAAGTACCCTACACCTTCTTCAGACCTATCGTCCCATGTAACACTTGCTCAAATCACAACCACCGCACTGTGACTGTCATCGACTGAGACTGTCTTCATTTCTTCTGCTAACTTTCTTTACTTAAATCCCGCCGCTGCAGTAGCAGTAACATCACCGACCGCATCTTAGCACACCTACACCACCTTCAGCAGATAAATAAGCTCTTGAATTAAATTTCAATCCCCCGAATATCTTTGTCTCTGGGCTTCTTGGGCTGCGCCTCCCGGAGCGTGCGTGTGTAACCTTTTAATTATTCACGTGGCGGAGAATGGAGTCGCGGGCGCAGCTATGCGGCGCGCGGCATTGTTTCGTGGGCGACGTGTGGGCGGGCGGGCGTGATGGATCGGGCGCGGGCACGGCCGCTCATCAGTCACGCGCCCTTTGTGCGCCTCTGCTCTCTTTGTGACGCGGCCTATTCACGGCGCACGCCCGCCGCCAACGCCGCCCTCGGGCCACGCTACCGGCCGCCGCCGCCGCCTCCGGTCCAGGCGGCCAGCAGCGCCGCGCGGCGCCGGCTACCTGTGAGGTAATTAATGCGGAGGGCTCGAGTGGCGCGCGAGGCGAGGAGCAATCGGCGGTGGTTGCGTAGGAATGCGACGGAATTCAGCAGACGTCTTGAGATTAGCGGTGTATCACAAGGGTTTATATCTGGATCTATGTTGGGCGACTAAGTACTTCAACATTGAAGAGAAAAGAAAATGGTGTGAAGTGATAAATATTCTATGGTGCCACCATTACCAAATTCAATCTGTAGTTTGCAGAAATGAGAAGTCTAAGGAACAAATAAGCACATAAACTAAATCTAATCTAAGCCAGAGGAAGCCGGCTAATTGGGTGATAATTAATGCGGAGTAACCGGAGAGCAAGGGTGGATATGATGGACACTGACTGACTTGGGAATTCAGAGGAACGACCATCGCAACTGAAACGTGTTAGCATG